CAAGGCAGTGGGGGAGAACAGAAATCTCCGTAACTTAAAGTTATAGTTAGCCAAGCCTTATAAGTTGAGTGAAATGAAATGAAAATCGACTGACCTTGTGAAGTGAAAGGCTATAACACCATGCTACCGGGAAAATACGGAAAAAAAATAGTCAACCTTGTTCTGTTCGCCTAACCATGAATACCGATCGGAATGATCATAAGCGCTCACCCACAATTCCGGCTCAAGACAAAATTCATCGCTTCTGGCCGTTAGGAAATCGTAGGCCGGACCGAAACAGCTGTTTAATGTGCTCATTAAACAGAATAGATCTTTGAGAGCAAGTGAAGAAGCAGTACTCTTGTGTGGTGTTGGACTAGATGGGGTGATTCCATCATCCGAGCTCGAAGTTGTGTCTGACCGTGAACGTTTCTTGCCACCGTTTGATACAGTCATAGGAGAAGAATGGTTTGGATGAGGCTACGCAAAGAGGGAAGAAATCGGTACTGGACATATCAGTGAACAATTAACACGAGAGCGAGTTCATCTCTCATTAACCTTCGAACCAAGATCAAGTTGCTTGTTTTTGCCTAACTTTGCCGACGCAAAACCAAAGTGACTCACCTGTTTTGTTATTTGGGCTTTGATTAAGGTAAAAGTAACATACTCCGCAGTCCACAGTTCCAAAAAAACGAAACAGAGTGGTTCAAAATCGATGATTTGCCGCTTTCTCTCAGGCATGAAGCGCGTGTGCGATGCGTCGCAAATGGGGATTGGCTGTGAATGTGAGAATGTGGAAAATCCACACCTTCATACGCTAGTCACTGTTGTGATCTGATCATTGCCTTGTGTGTGTGTGTGTGGACATGGGCACGATAACACTCGTNACGAGTCTCTCGCGATATAAACCACTGGGGGAAGGGAACTTGCTCAGACTTAACTGGGTGAGAATCGACAGCCCAACCGCTATGCTGACAGAAGCTCAGCAAGTCAACATTTGTTTTGTTCAACATCTGAAAATGTACATGTGCGTACTGACTTTAGTAGTTCTCACGACGTTCCGCTCTGGCTACGCATTTGAAGCATGCGAAACCGACCAATAGCAATTCCTTAGAGGAATGGGACCTATGAACTGCACATCGGAATTGTTTGTCTTGTGACTTCGAACCGTTGAACGAGTTACCAGTGCAGCTAAGGTCTGATAGCGCAGTCTTTTGAATTGACCACAAGATTCAGTCGTTGTGTTCACCCATAATTGGGTGATGATCAAACGACTGCTAAAGGCACAGTGCAAACGAAATAGATGTGAATAGATAAAACTGGATGACATGTAATCGGTTTGATGGAACAGTGTGTGTGTATCACTGTGCCAGCGCCATTAGAGCCCACAGTACCCAACCCATAGTGCATACGTCATCAGAGAGGGTAAACAACACGTGTTTAGCTGCAGCAAGTTACTGATGGAAAGACGTTCATGAACCAGTCGAATTCTTGGCTACGATAATTAACATCCGATGACAGATGCATCTTGGAGATGTGTTTAAGTTATCACTCGGTAAATGTCACACACTACAAAACGGTGTCGTTTAAATGATCCTCACATAATATTGTGACACGGACTAAAAATGCAAACGAAGTGTAATCATTCATGTCTGGGTTTGGAAATGTCTCAATCGCTACTCGTTTTCAAGAAGCGATAACGCGACGACTGGGGAAATCACAACGGGATAAGTTTGTCTGGTCCATAAGGCACCGAAAACGAGCTTGTTCATCATTGCCACCTAAGTCATTAAAATGCGAGTCTCGATAATATTTCGTTATCTAACGCCTCTGAGAAACGAATGCCTGTGAACGGCAAACAGGATTATGACCCAGCCATGGTTGTATTGATCGTTCTTCACTTTACGTCAAGTCAAGTGAGTGATGGAGGATTTGATTTGATTTCGAAGGTTATTCGTCGTGTATATGGCAAACGAAACGTGAACTGAAAAGCTAGGAAGCACTGG